CCAACCCAAACACAGTGAGCACACACACACACCTGACCAACCCAAACACAGGGAGCTCTCTGGTTTGTTGTCACATGACTGTTGGTCTCAGATGAATCAATCATGACTTCATAGTTTCACACTTTAATGTTTTTACACATTCTGGTGAAAGTGAACTCTTTACTAGAGGAGACATTTATAATGACAACATGAAGAATAAAATGTTTTTATGAAATATCACAACTTTAAACTTCGTTTTGGTTCCTTTTTCTGATGGAAGCGTTCTTCACACACGATGTGTTCAAGGACCGTCGGAGAGATGAAACTGTCAATAATGTTGGTTTCTACAGCTTCCTGGAGTCTCACCTGTGTGTTTGTGTCCAGGTGATCATTCTGATCGGTAACAAGGCCGACCTGGAGGCTCAGAGAGACGTGACGTACGAGGAGGCCAAACAGTTCGCTGAGGAGAACGGTGAGGCGTCACTTTGTGTTTGTTTGACGTCATCGAATAAAAAGAGCGTCACGCTGATTCTACTTCCTGTTCCAGGTTTACTGTTTCTAGAGGCCAGCGCTAAGACGTGAGTACACACACACACACACATCTCAGAGGTACTTGTACTTTTTGATTGCTGAGCCGGCAGCACTTTGAACGAAGCCATTTTTTAACTTCTACCAGAGTATTTGTTCATTTCATCTTTACTTTGACCAACTCACAAAGACCCACCAAGGGTCCCGTGAGCTGGGAGGTCTTGGTGAGTTATTATCTAATGAAGTCAGAGATCCGAGTACTTCGTCCACCTTTTATAGTCTGGAATCTGATCTGTCAGACTTGTTTCTGTGTGTGTGTCTTAATGTCTCCCTCGTCTTCATCAGAGGGGAGAACGTGGAGGAGGCCTTCCTGGAAGCGGCAAAGAGGATTTACCAGAACATCCAAGATGGCAGTCTGGACCTGAACGCAGCCGAGTCGGGAGTCCAGCACAAACCGTCCGCGCCGCAGGGCGGCCGCCTGAACGCCGACAGCCAGCCGGCCAAAGAAGGCTGCAGCTGCTAACCACAGACGGGAACGACAGGCGCACACAGAGACCCCCCCATGAGTCCTCTATGCAGAGTGCGTCAGACTGGATTCAGCTGGATTACATTCAACAGTCCGACCAGCTGTTGGTGAATCCAGACCTCAGTTCAGAACCCAAAACAAGACTCAACCATTAAATCAGGACCTTTCACCAAATCCAGTATCTATCAAGACGTCTGTGGACCAGGTCTCAAATCTGCATCAGTGTTCCAACCCTTGGATCCCGCTGGGTCACGATGGCTATCACTAGAAAACCCTTTGCCCCCAAAAACTGGATCACCCTCCGGACCTCCCAAGTTTGGAGCACTGTTGGCCCGACCCAAAGTGAGGGTTGTTCAAATTCTGGACTAACCCGGTCCCACGAGAGAGAAGTATAAATACAAGGCTCACGTTTGAACCAGACCACTCTACACCAAAAGGGGTCGCCTTAGTTCTTAGTCTGGACCAGAGCCCTGGTCCAAGTCCAGAGCCCTGGTCCAAGTCCAGTCTTTCTCCAGCTCACATCCAAGCGTGATTGACCTAAAGGTAGTCTCTAAGCCCATCACTAGACGAGCATCTTCCTGGAGGACCCTCCGGACCCCCGTCTCTTCCAAGTCTGGACCCTGTCCACCGCAGTCCAAACTTGGACTAGTCTTGTCCCAAGAAGACAAGTAAAGTTACGTGACCCCGATAGAATATATCTGATCACCAAAATGCAAATCACCCAAGTTCCAACATTCCTTCTGACGGATTCACAGCCCAGCTGGACCGCCCCTGGTCCTAATTGAGACCTCCTTCCCCCTCACATCCAGGCTCGCTGCACCGATGTAAGCCCGGAACAGAACCACCCTCACCCACCACCAGACAACTGGGACCCGACTGAAGTGAAGGCAGTCCAGCTACCTTTTGTCTCAAATGTAAAACGCCAACGAGACAAAAGATTCAATGCCTGGAATTTGGACAAAACTATAACCCCCCCCCCCCCCCACACTCTGGACTACACTTTACTTAAAATGCGTATGACCCAAATTCCAACTCTGGACCGATTCTCAGACCAGATCAAGAACCACCTGGAGTCCAAACCTTCAAATTTAGATCCAATCTAATCTGCTATAAGATCCAATCGTCCAAACTCTTGACGTCCTCTCTGATTGGACGTTTGGATTCATAGTCGTACTAACGTCTTGTTCCTGTGTGACATCCCAGCATTTGTTCAGTTGAGAGAAAAGTCTTAAAATGAATTCCTCACGTCCGTTAACTCCTAACGGAGCGGCCTGAACACATTCCAGGTTCTTCTTCTTTTTCAGTTTGACAAAGAACTCTTCATCTCACTTGAGTTTCCTCTAAACCAGAAGAAAGCGGCTGCCCTTTGACCTTCTAGTCCGTTGTGTTTCTGAGTATCAGAAGACGAGTTTACGTCGTAGATGTGGATTCGTAGACCTTTAGAGTCGGAGGTTAGATTCTCCTCCGGAGGCGGTCTACTCGTTCTGACCACCAGGTTAAAAGCTACTCCTTGTTTGTTTCCACTCAGAAGTGCTTCTGTGGCTCTGGAGGATCTTTCTGAAGGTTAGACGAGGCCAGACGGTTCTTCAGAAGGACGGAACCAGGTTTCTTTGCTAAAGTTCTAGAATCCAGGGTTTCTGGAAGTTTGACCCGTATTACGTTCTAAAGGTGTGGAGCTCTCAGCCGTTACTGCTTCAGTCTCTAACACGGTTCCATCCTTGTAGAAATGCGACATTAAAACCTTTGTTGTGCTGCAGACGGACTCGCTCAGACGCGCTCTAAACCACTGGAGTACCAGTGTAGGAGAGCCAGAACCTCGGTACACAATAGACCCACATATGAACTCACCTGCACACATTACAGGTCTTTGTACAACATTCAGGACCCCGATCCAAAACTGACCTGAAACCAGTTCATCTAACGGGGTCGGTCAGTGAATCCTGTTCAGACAGAAACACCGTCGTGGCTCCGCTGAACGTTATCGACACGTTTTAAAGACTCCAAAGTAAAAGTGTTCTTTCATTTAAAGGTCACGAAAGAAAACAAGCCGACAGAAGAGAGTAAAACGTAACGGTTGAGTGTTTGAAACAAAATCAGTGAGTTCAGCTCTGACTTTAAATGACTCTGCTCTCATTGATGTTCAGAGTTACACAAAATTAATCCAGCTCTAAAATATGAATATTCTCTAAAACTGCTTCAATACAGAAATATTCAGATTAAAGAAAAGCTGAGAAACGTTTCATCTCGATGTCTGAACGAGTCCCAGAAGGAACAAATGTCCCCAACAGGTCAAAGTATCACTAATAAACCAACAATGCACTAATGAGTTATTAAAGAGATAAAAGAAACCTTTAATCAGTCGATATGTTTCACGTTTTACTCCCACTTTTACTTTTCTTTATTTGTTGTCGTATGTTTGATTATTGATCACGTATTCTATTAGTTTCTGTGTTATTAAAATGGTAAATTTTTAGAGTAAAATAATAATAAATGCATGAATAATAAAACTTCTGATGAGCAAGATAATAACAAAGGAAAACAAATCACATTTAAATCAGCCAATAACATAAATGTATTATGAGAATCCTAATAGAAAGTCACAATTCTGAGATTAATGTTTAATTTACTTTACTGGCTCATAATCATGATTTAAATAATAAAACATGTTTCTGTTCTTTTCCTTTAGTCGTAGTCAGGTGATCATTTTGACATAAAGTCATTCTGTTAGTTGTTCATCGTAATTTGAACAATTTTAGAAATCTATATATAAACAGTAATTATTACATGACTCTGCACACGCTCAGTCATTAGTTGTTGCATTTGGCTCCTCTGGGACTCCGTACTTGTTCTGTAACTAAGAAGTCCGGCTCACTTGGATCCCGTCTGTTCAGGTTCTGGTTCAGGCTCAGACCTCGTGTTCACGTCCGGTCACTACTGAAGTGTGAAGGGTCTTAAAGCCGGTGCTGTTTGAGGACATCTGGTCCGCTTCAACACAGAGTTTTAACCGAGTCCACGTCGGTCTGAATGGGGAGTGATGTCACTCCTGCTCCTCGTCCTCTGATTGGTGGACAGAAGTCTTCTTCAGCTGTGACGCTTCTGATCCTTCCTCACTCTAAAACTCGTCGCCCTCTAACGTCTCTTCATCGCTCAATAACCTGCACGAAAGAAGTTTGTTTCCTCGTTGATGCTTTTCAACCATTTTAACAAAATTTCCAGAAACCAAAAGGTCACAAAAGCAAATCGGTGAAATCAAAGCTGTTGTCTGGAGGTTTGTTGTGACGCTGCCTTAAGCTTCCCTTCGGCAAAGGAAAACAACCATCTCATTTAAGAAACAAACATTAAGGAGTTTGTTATAGCGCAGCAGCAGCGCTCGTCCTGTAGGGGGCAGTGTTGCTCCCCTTACAGGGCTCGTCCT